TTGCGAGTCAGGCTATTTGTCAGTCAGGCCAAAAGGTAGTCAATGTAGCAACACTCGCGCATGATTTACAGTAAAAAAAAAATAAAAATAAAAACATTTTATTTAAAAAACAAAAATAAAAACATTGTTTATATTTTTAAAAACATTCTTAATGTTTTTATAAACATTCTGGTTAATTAAATTTGCGTTTTTGCGGTTTTTTAAAAAAATAATTAAGTTAATGGTTTTAACTTTATGACAACACGGAAATGTTGGATGAATGTTAAAAGTAATTAAAAATGACGTAATTTGTTGTCAAAAGAATCATTTTACCTTCCGTACTCTCAAAGCCAACAATATTATATAATTTATATATATATATATATATATATATATATATATATATATATATATATATATATATATATATAAATTTAAAAAACTATATAAACTTTAATTTTTATAATACAGTTAGGCTAAAGTTTATTTTTCATTTAAAAAATCTAAATACTTTTGTTTTCTCGATTAAAAACGCATTAACGCGTGTCATAAAATTGCTGTCTAGAAGTTTTAACTAACATACTTTAGTATACCGCATTGCGCAATACCAATTATGCAAATAATGATTTTTGGCAACGACTTAATTTGTCATATTGAAATTTACTATACATAACCCACAATTTTATCGATATTTCTTTTTTCGCACTATCACTCTACTATTCATATTGTTTTAAAAATATCAATATCAATATCAAAAATGGCATGTAAAAGATCTTCAATGAACCTTCGGAATGCAACAGCTTTCTTCAAAGCTCTAAACGGATGGGCCAAGTTGCAACGGTAATTACATTTCATTTGTTTGATCTATATATAGAACTCTAATAATTTAACTTGCATTTTCCTCTTTTATTTTAGTTTTTATTATGCTACCGTAAACCGGGGTTACTTTGAACGTTTTTGAGATATTTTTACTTGCTTTTTCCTAACTATTGACAATATTTAAAATTTAACAAAATGAATATAAGGGCTAAGGTTAACTCACGCATAATTCAAATTCAAAATATTATTTAAATAATATTAATTTAAACAGTTTAGTATTAATTTAAACAGTCATTTAAAGTTCTTTTAAAATTATTTTCTTGTAATACGATATTTATGTTTTATAAAATGAGTTTTTTAAAATCATTTTATTATTTTTAAAAACCCTTTTTTGCGTTACCATTAAATAAAATGTTTAAAAAAAGTTGTCACAGACTTATTATGTCAAATGTTGGTTGTTTCCTAATTATTGAAATTCCATTTACTATAAAATTTTTTGGTATTATATTCTTAGTTTTAAATAATAATGGTCTTGTTTAAACGCATCAACGTTTTTGCTTTTGTATAAAACCAAAAACGTTGATGCGATTCTTAAAAACGTTAAATTGCTGAAAACCTCAATAATGATACAATAAAAAGCTTTAATTTTGTCGTTTAAAAGTTAAATATGTTGAAGTGCCTAATACAGTAGCGTTTAAGCTAGCTAGAAGATTACAAAAAGTCTATAGCTATTTGATTGCTACATATCGCAGCTTTTTTTTAGCTATCTATATTTTAGCACGGAATGTCGATAGTTTTTTATACAGTTGTAGTTTCGGCCCACCTTTGAATGTGAGCATTTTTAAACTAACTCAATAAATTATTTTTATTGCAATCAATGTATTATTGTAATAAAGCATTGCATAAAATGTGTTGAGTATTTAACTTAGGTAAAGTTGAGTTGATTATGAGCTGTATTTATTATGTTTTCTTTTGTCCTTTTTTAGTAACAGATTTTTGTATATGTCAAGGATTAACCTTTTTTGGATATTTCCAGAATTCTGGAAATTTTTGTAACTTTTTTTTTTCTGGATATCTAAAACATTTTCTATACTTAAAAGTTTAAATACATCTATTTGTTCTATAAGCTTTTTCACTCATCACTCATAAAAAAAAAAAAAATAAATAAAAATCTCAGCTATAAGCAAAAATAAGAGGAAAATAAGAGAAAATATTTTCCGGGTATTTTACCCAAACAAATTTCCGGATTTTTAAAATATTGCATGGACAATCTATGATATGTATATTGTATAAAGCTATGATTGTATGTATATTGAAAAAGTTATTTTTTTTTAGTATATTCTTACTGCAGAATCAGAAGTAGAAATTGATTTTAATACATCAAAAAAAAACACAAGAAAACTCCTTTAAGTCAGCAAAACAGAAAGAGAAAAAAAAAATGTATTTTTGAAGAACCTCCTTTACCATCATTACCATCGTGGAAGCCACCAAAGCTTCCTGATTCCGATTCAGTATACATTTTAAAATTTTATCCCATTCGTAAAAATAATAATTTTTTTTGTTTCATTTTTATGGTTTATTTGCTTTTTTTAGTTATCATTTTTAAATAAAAAAAAAAAAATTAAAAAAGTAAAATATAATCAGAATATTGTGAATGTATTTATAATCATTGTTAATCTTGTTCAGAACTTTTTGTCCGTCTCTGCCTCAATGGATCAAGTAGATGACTTGCCAGTTACACAGATAGTGTTTCCATCAGAAATGCAGTCTGTTTCACAAGTTCAACCGTTACTGCATTTATCTTCTTCCTTTTCTTTACCATCTCAAAAAACTGGGATAGACCAAATAAATAACTTTATTCGGAAAGCAAATGTTGAACCCAATGCGGTAGTGGTGTAGTGGTAGAGCGCTCGCTTCATAAACGAGTGGTTCCGAGTTCGATCCCCACCACGTCCCTGGTAGTACCGCGCTCAACTCGTTTCTCCGCGCAGCGGCCTTGTTCGTCAAGGTTCGTGTTTCGGAGTTATAGAGTTGAGAGAGGGTTATAGCCACAAATAAGTAGCCTCCTCGTCTGTAGTGGCCTTCTCGGTCTTGAGGAGGTGAATTAAAATAAAAAAAAAAAAAATACTGTTGAAGGCATTCAATTTTTAGTGAACTCCATGTACAGAAAACTTTGTGGGTTGGAAACAGAAATGCGTTCCATGCGTTCAATTTTAGACACTAATCATGGTAATAAAGAAAATAATAATATAGATTATTTACCAGCTAATTCAGTTGAAGAGTTTGACTCACTAGAAAATAAAATAATTAACTCTAATGATAAAGATATCATTTGCAGAAAGTTAAAGCAAATTGATGGGAGAAATGTAAGTGACTTTTTAAAAAATGCTTTAAAAACTTGTTTATTTTTTTTTTTTTTTACAACTTTTTTAGCAATTATTTTCGAAAATTGATAAAGATTTAAAAAAAAACTAAAATTTAACAGAAATTTTATTCTATTATCTTTTTAAATATCTTTTGAAATTATTAATTTAATTTAGACAAAATCATATAGTTGTTAATGACTTTTTATTTTTAAAAGTAATCTATAACTTTTCTTTTAACATTTTTTAATGGCTTTAACATTTATAACTTTTTATGGAAACAAGTATTAACATTTTGTATTTAATTTGTTATAAATGCAATCTTATTTTAATGGTTATAATTCATTCCCCTGAAAAATATAGCACGCGATTCTTTGAGCATATCTTCTAACCTAGCCGAGATTTTCTAGCCAAATCGATGTCATTGTCGTAACGACTTAATGCTAGCTATTCGCTAGCTGATTTAGCTAGCAATCGTCGTGGCCATACCGCTGTGTTTATCGTAACGACTTGTCGCTAACTTGTTTAGCTAACGGATCGCTAGCTTATAAAGCTAGCGATCCTCGTGGCCAAATCGCTGTCTTAATCGTAACGAATATCGCTAGCTATTCGCTTGCTTGTTTAGCTAGCGGATTGCTAGCTTATAAAGCTAACGATCCTCGTGGCCAAATCGCTGTCTTAATCGTAACGAATATCGCTAGCTATTCGCTAGCTTGTTTAGCTAGCGGATTGCTAGCTTATAAAGCTAACGATCCTCGTGGCCAAATCGCTGTCTTAATCGTAACGAATATCGCTAGCTATTCGCTAGCTTGTTTAGCTAGCGGATCGCTAGCTTATAAAGCTAACGATCCTCGTGGCCAAATCGCTGTCTTAATCGTAACGAATATCGCTAGCTATTCGCAAGCCAATTTCCCACCGGGAACTATACCTTTTGTCAGCAGTAATTTACAAATACTTCTAGTATTTTTATTAATATTACTATATTGCTGCTTACATATATATATATATATATATATATATATATATATATATATATATATATATATATATATATATATACATATATGTATATATATATATATATATATATATATATATATATATATATATATATATATATATATATATATATATATGTATATATATATATATATATATATATATATATATATATATATATACAAAATATATAAATATATATATATAAACATATTTTTATCATTTTTATAATAACACACACACACACACACACACACAAACACAGTGGCACACATGTATCAGTGGCGGATTGAGGTTTAGTGTCGCGGGGGGGCCAAGTCAATGAATAGGGGCAACCGGGGTTGTCTTCAGTAATTTGATCTTATAATTATTTTTTTTGATTGTTTTAGGGGGCGCCGTTAGACCGCTCTAGGAAGGCGTGGGGGGAGGGGGGTTGCAGCTTGCCCCCCCCCCCACGCCTTATACTAAATCCGCTTCAGATATGTATATGTGTGTTTGTGTGTGTGTGTGTGTTTTATTATAAAAATGATAAAAGTAGTCTAATCAACAAATAATTTAGTGCTGTTATTACTATAATTACTACTAGTATATATATATATATATATATATATATATATTATATATATATATATGTTTAAAACTTACCATATTTATATTGAGCAGCAAATATATGTATATGTATATGTATATATATATATATATATATATATATATATATATATATATACATATATATATACATATATATATATATATATATATATATATATATATATATATAATATATATATATATATATATATATATATATATATATATATATATATGTTTAAAACTTACCATATTTATATTGAGCAGCAAATACCAAATTGCAATAAACCAAAGCTAAAATCTAAAAGTCACAAAAAGGTTATAATTTAATAAAAAAAATCTGAAAATATACCTCAGAATTAATTAAAAAAGTAACTTCAATAAAAAATCACTTAAAAATACCTTTACATCATTAATTACTAATTTAACTATATTTATTCAATTAACTAAGTGTGCTATAGAGGTGATATTGGTTAAAACATTATTTGTTAATTAAATAAATTTAAAACAGTTAAAGAACTGATTTTTATACACTAAGCATTTCTCAAAATAATGAATAGAAGGCATTTAAGGTAAGAAAGAAATTTGGAAAATGTAAGTTGCGATGGTTTGTTTTTGGCCGTAATTCATAAAAATATTATTTCTGCTTATCTAAAATTATAAGAAACCGAATTCACTTTATTAATGTGGAAGATACTCCCATCGCACTCCATATAATAATAAAGTATATAAAAATTTACTAATAGTTCCTTTTTGAGCTAAATTAATTATATTTGTGAGTAAAATATTTGAGAATATATTTGATTCTAAGAGTACAAAACTGGATTGGGGAAGAAATAAAAATCACTTATCTGGGATTCGCACAGAAAAAAGGCTGGGTGAATAAAAATGAGCAATTGCTTTTACTTAGTAATTGGTTAGCTTCTTTAGGGAAGTGGATTTTGTTCTCTACTTTTTAATATTTTTATTAGAGATCTTCCAACTGTCTCTAATTCTCATACAACTCAGTTTGCTGACGATATTACACACTCTGAGGATGATTTGGACCCTTATGCTCGTACAACTAAATTGGAACATACTTTATAAAATAGACTTTGTAAAACAAAACTTTATAAAACCAAAGACTTCTGTACGTCCTAAATTCGTCAAAGACATAGTTTATAGTGTTTAAGAATCCTAGAAAGAAACTACCGGAGAATCTACTATTGATAATAGACGGCAGTGTAATCAATCCAGTCAAATCAGCTAAATTATCATCTTACCTTTAAATTAGCATCTTAACATTGGTCCTCATATAGATAATGTTAAAAAAAATGTCATGGTATCTTGGGAGTTCTCTCTCGAGCCAGTCAATACCTATCTCGGGACCTTCTGAGATTGGCTTACATATCATTAGTAAGGTCTCAGCTTGAGTATTCTAGCGCAATTCTCTTATCTGCGGCACCAACTTAGTTAAAGAAACTAGACATTGTTCAAAAAATTGCATCACGAATTATTTGCGGTGCTAATCGAAATGCTCATTCAGCCCCTTTTCTTACGGAATTAAAACTGGATTCGCTAAAAAATAGAAGAGAAAAGCATGTAATTGATCTTGTTCATTTTGTTATAACAAGAAACTGTCCACCAGTTTATTACAACCTATTTGGAGAAAGTGCCGATGGGGAAACTTATAATGAAGTCCGGTCTCGTACTAAAATTGGTCAGAGACGTTTTGTAGTAACTGGCCAACAGATATTGAAAAATTATTAACCGTTCTGTAAGAGAAATAAAAATAAAAAAAAAATACAAAATAGCAAAAATACAAAAAAATAAAAAATAAAAAGTTAACTAGATAAAAAAAAAAAAAAAAAAAAAAACTGCAAATAGAACATTCTGCAAAGGCATTGGTGGCTATCTGTAATCGGGAGGGGAAAAAAGGACTCCAGCAATAACTCGAGAAGCGGAAGAAGGATCGGTTATATTAGCTATTGTAAATAAAACTTTAATATAAATTAACGGCAATGTATCCAGCTCTTATCGAATATAAAAAAGAAATATATAAAAAAAAAAGTTTTACGTGAATAAAAACTTTAGCAGTTTTGCTAAAATATTTACGCACAAAGTTAAGCAATATTTGCGCAGCTTTACGTGAAAAAAAAAACTTAAGCAAAATTGCTTAAGTTTTTATTTACGTAAAGCTGACCTATTACTGAGTAAAAGCAATTGCTCATTTTTATTCACCCGGCCCAAAGTTTACTGTGTTTCTATTTTTATATCTTTTTTCTTATCGAACTTATTTTTAGTTTAGTTTTATATTTGCATTTTTATAATATTGTTTGGATAACAGCTATATTTGTGAATAAAGTTTTTTATATTTTAATTATTTTAATTATTAGACCAATTGCTCGGATCCAATAGGTTTTTTAGTTAAATTATGAAAGTACAAAACAGAAATGTTTTATATTTCCATAGTTAAATCAATCACTTTATCGTATGAAATTAGGATTGTTATCATTAATACAAATTAAATATTTTAGAAAATTAATTTCGATTTAAGTAAGTTACATCAGTAACTCTACCAGCTTGAGTAATATTTAGCCATTATTAACATTGTAACGCAATTAAGTCATTGAAAAATTCTCGAAAGAAATATATCTTATTTGCTAGTTAGTGATAAAACAGTTACAATAAAAGTGAATTATGCTGTAATAGAATGTGTAAATAGTTCTCATGAACTAGAAAACTAGAATATAAAACTTATTTTCAGCACAACGGAAATTACAATTTCAGCGTAAACATACAATTTCAAACGTGTTGCATCTCAAATGTAAAAAGAAATAGCAATAAAAAAGAGAACTTGACCAGTGAGCTTATACGAAAAGGATAAAAGAATGTATGAAAATATAAAACTTTTACAATTAAAAATCATACAGTATGCTACAATCATTTCGTTGATAAAATACAAACTAAAAATAACTTTTATCCATCATTGTCAAAGTAAGGGTAATTTGAACTTGACATTATATTATGTCCTAATCAAATGGGAAGTGTTAATTAGGGTACCATTGATTACTAGCTTACTAGTAACCATTAGTTTCTAGTTCATTGGTATATTATTGTTAAAACTATATTTTATAAAGTTATTTGGTTGACTATGCAGTTGATTTTCTAAAAAAGTTAATTTAAAAAAATATTATTTAATATCCGTCTTTTTTAAATCTTAAAAGCAAATTTTTCTATTACCTGATTCGTCTATTATTTCTACTAATTCAAATGCTTACCGTTGTTCTATATTGGGCTGTAGCTCAATAACGAGCATTGGTAAAGAAAGAGGAATTTCCTAGTTAAATGCTCTTTAAAAAAATTTAACATTAAACAAAATTTATTATTAATAAAAAGCATCGATATTGTATCTTTGTAGTTTTAAAGTTAAAATTCTTTAAATTTTTGTTAAAATAGTTGTTCAGCTCAACTTTGATTTGTCAATTTTTATTAAAATAGTTGTTCAGCCCAACTTTATTCTTAAATTTTTATTAAAATAGTTGTTCAGCTCAACTTTGATTTGTCAATTTTTATTAAAATAGTTGTTCAGCTCAACTTTGATTTGTCAATTTTTATTAAAATACTTGTTCAGCTCAACTTTGATTTGTCAATTTTTATTAAAATACTTGTTCAGCCCAACTTTGATTTGTCAATTTTTATTAAAATAGTTGTTCAGCCCAACTTTATTCTTAAATTTTTATTAAAATAGTTGTTCAGCTCAACTTTGATTTGTCAATTTTTATTAAAATAGTTGTTCAGCTCAACTTTGATTTGTCAATTTTTATTAAAATAGTTGTTTAGCCCAACTTTGATTTGTCAATTTTTATTAAAATAGTTGTTCAGCCCAACTTTATTCTTAAATTTTTATTAAAATAGTTGTTCAGCCCAACTTTGATTTGTCAATTTTTATTAAAATAGTTGTTCAGCTCAACCTTGATTTGTCAATTTTTATTAAAATAGTTGTTCAGCCCAACTTTGATATGTCAATTTTTATTAAAATAGTTGTTTAGCCTAACTTTGATTTGTCAATTATTTTTCCAGTTTTAAAAAAATAAGGATAATACAATGGATAATACATTAAAATATTTTTGAGATATAATTTTTAACCATTTATTATTTCAACTATTTTAGATTGCTATTTTTATTTTAACTACTTTTATTATATTGTTTAATATTTAAATTTTTATATGGTTCTGGCGACAAGATTGATATGATCTTTTTCCAGATGCCATGTTTATATTATACGACATGTAATAAATGTAAACTGAAAAAGTAAAAAAAAAAAAAAAAAAAAGAACGAGCAAATAATTACTCATTTTATTTAACCCAAACATTGGTATTTTTTAAGTTTAATAAATCACAAAAATAACGTCTTTTATATACTTGTAGCGGTCCTGTTAGTGATAATAAATAACAAATTCATATATTTAAAAAAAAAACTATTTTGAAAAGCTTTTAGCTTTTGTAACGTTTTTTATGTTTTGCACTACCATGTTTGTTGTTTTTTTTAAACAAGAAATAAGATTAGTACTAGAACTCTTTTTATCAAATTCGTAATTGTTGGTGGAAGAGGATTTCTGAAAGTTTCATTGGGAACTATTGAATCGATGGTGGAAAAGTATTTCTGAAGGTTTCATTGGGAGCTATTTAATCGATGGTGGAAGAGAATTTATGAAAGTTTCATTGGGAGCTATTGAGAAAAGATGGTAGCAGTTCTCCTCCATCAAAGAAAAATTTGACAATGAATACATTCAGAGAAAGTATTTGCAATCGTCAGCTAATCATTGTCATGGCATTATTGGCATATTGGAAACAACTGCAAATATGCATGGTTGCTTTTTTTTGCAAACACATGTAATATAAGTTTCTTAACAAAAATCTGAAATTATTTTGTTAAAATCTTTCTTTTTAGAACAGTCATGCTTGATTTTTATTAATTGTTTCAATTTTTGAAAGCTATACATAAAAAAGTTACTCTGTTTCTGTTATAGAATAAAAAGTAAAATGTTAATTATTTTTCCAAAATAAAATAATTAGATTTCAAAATTTATATTTTTGTGATCCTGGCATCATTGGCTTTTATGCCCACCATGCCATTTATTGTGAATTTTTGGCAACGATGCGCATAGAATTTCAGTTATTAGCGGCGTCTCTGACCAATTACAATGCTTTGAAAGTCCGTTTACATGTTCTTTGTGTAACATAAACTTTAAAATTTATGTTACACAAAGAACATGTAAATAAAATTTTGGAATGTTTGTATGTTTTTATAAAGAACCA